TTATGGATAACATTTGTTAATGAAGCGTGTCAAATATTAAATATCGATTCATCGAGAAAACAACATTATGAACAGTTGACAACACGACAAGATATTGAATTAGCGAGTGAAATATTTATAACAGGAAATGTTTATACCAAAAATTGGCCTGCTATACTAACACACACGGAAATAAAAGACGATCAATTGTGTCAAGAAATTGTAAAATATCGTCGTAAAACCGCTATTCTTTCATCAACAGCGGCATCAACGAAAGTCGACAACAATACACAAGCATTAGCAGAACTTAAAAAATTAGATTATCTTAAGTCATCACATGAAAAAGCGACATGTATTCGAACAACATTGGATTTACTATTAGCAACAATGATGCAACAACAACAACAATTGTGTGGAAGTGGTATAACAGTCAAATATACGAAAAATCAACAACCTATAGCTGCTGATGAGACTCTGACATCATTTATTGATCTATTAACACAATCAGATATGAAAAATATCGTAGCACACGAATATTATATAATCACGTTTAAATTTTTACACTTACCCCAAGATATTGATTATGCTGTGACGACATTTCGAGCGTCAATTGAATATTTATATGAAAAAAAATTCTTGTCATTATAAATAATAGTTTTGCTTTTTGCAGTCTTTCAAAGTATCTACTTATATACTTTCAAATCTCACTCTTTTTTATACTAATGAATACTAGTGAAATAGAATGAGTTGTTTTAACTTTCTTTTAGTGTATAGTTAGAAAATTTAACAAATAATAACAAATTATCGAGCTCACGGAAGCCGTTCACTACCACAGACGGTGAGAAGATTTTATCGGTTCCATCCTTCTCCAAAAACTTCTGAATTTTCCCTACCATCTTCCATACTTATGAACAGATGTCAGTGTACTGATGAGACTTAGAAACCTCCTAAAATAAACTGAAAACGTCACCCAAAGTGACGCCTCTAGTATTCGAAGTTTGTTGAAAAATGCTGCAGGTGGTCTTAATAAAAGACAGGTGAAGGTTTACGGTTTTCATTAGTCAGGAGTCAACACTTATCCGCATATTATCATTGGAAAAAGAAATCTGAAAGTCTGTCTTGAAATAGGTAGAAGGTCTTTGAAAAACCAGATCGTTATTGTCAAAGTTAGAATAGAAAAATGTTTGATAATCACGTGGACAGATAGTATTAAGAGTTCCTGACAAAATAGAAGCTATTCGGTATCTCTGTCAATTCAGACATGGTATCGGGTTTTTTAGGAGCACCAGGCCCTAAATATACTTGTAGAACCTGGAAAAAACTAAAAATAACTATAAATTAAAAAGTTAACCTGTCTACTCCTGAAATTGAAAAATTTATAAATCACTGAAAATCAGAATGACTTAATATCCTTCAGACATCATTTTTTTGTGAAGATTACATAATTACTATTTTATCTCGAAAGATTTTTTAGTGAGCTAATTGAAAATTCATTAAGCATAAAGCTATAATCAGCATTACAGAATAAGATTGTCCTGGAACTATCAAGTCATTTCTGTGAGTTATGAGACCTTTTTTTTTAACCTTCATTGGAAAAAGCTTTCTTTGTGAAATCCCAATGTGTTGATCAAAGCAGAATGCTTAGTGTTTATTAAATCATTTCATATATGTTTACAGGTAATTAGTGCGCAAGGATATACTTTATAAGTTTTCGTAAACTACCACGGCATAGTCTCATATGATTGATAGTCAAAAACTATAGCTATCATTAACCGTTATTCTCTAAGTTTATAACACGCGCTAGTCTCGTACAAAAATGTTAATGGGAAATCAAATGTAATAAACAACGGCTTTTTCCGCACTTTTCAGTTTGCTGCTGATAATGCTTTATAAAAACAATCAACACCGTACTTACATTAATAACTGAAGTTACCGAACTTTTTAGATTACCGACTTTGATAATGAGAAATACACGTCTGTCATCGATCGGATTTTATTAAAAGTCATAAAAAAATTTAAAAAGAGTAAACAAAGAGCTAATAATGTACAAGGTTTATAACTTATTCAAATCCAAACAAAGGAGCATATAGTAAACATATTGTGCATTAAGCTAAACAAGATCAAAGCGAAGGTTAAAATAAAAAGTTAAACGTATATCAAAGCCTACTTTTCGATGGATTTTGAGTTGTCTCAGTGTTGCTTTCAGTTGAATTGTTATCTAAAGGAATTATATTCGTCTGTTGTTCGATTAATCGTTGTAATTCTTGAGCCTGCATCAAAAAGTAAAAGAATATATGATAACTAAATATAGAAAGGGTAGCTCGTACCGATGATGGAGGAGGCAAGTTCTTTAAATGATAGACCATTACCGCACCAGTGTTTGTGCCAGCCAGAACAGACTAAATAGAAAAGACAAAACAGTTCGTCACACGATTAGCTAGGACACAATTGACAAAGACTAACTTCTGAGTTTGGTGCATATGTTATTGAAGTAAACATGTATTGTTGTGTGGCTAATATAACATTGACCGGTTCGAGTCTGAAGTGAAATAACGATTAGATCGCATTACTAATTGTATTGTCAAATTCATACGTATTTTTCGATAAATCCCACACTTCAACAGCTTCTTCATTAACACAACAAAACATTGTAGCTGATATTGGCGACCAACATATATCAAACACCGGTTTCTAAAAGATATCGAAAAAACGATGAGTCTATGTTCTGTATAAATTCATAGACATACCTTTCTTGATATCATGGTCAAACATGGTTCAAATCGATTCACAATCCATAAACACATTGTCCAATCGGCTGATGAACTTAAAAACACATTTTTTGCTAGAGGACTCCAAGCAATTTTGTAAACAGGTCCCTGAAACAGAGTAAATTTCATCCATACAATTTTCTTTTACGAGTTAAAATAACAAACCGTATGTCCAGAATAAGTATCCAAATATTGTTCATTATATGATACGGAACAACGATGCACAAGTCCTTCTTCTGTGCCACATAAATAACTGAATAAGGAAATATATATATTATGATTGATAATTTGCTTCGTTATCATTTCTTACATTGTTTTATCGTCTGGACACACATCAAAACATAAACCACCCGCGTTACGAAATAGAATATTATCTGATTTTGTCTGTTTTGCATCTTTTGGTACTTCACGTTCACGACGAGTTTGTTTGCTTAGAATACGCTTCAATTTCATATAATCTAAACGAATGAAATTCTTTTATTTTTTTGACAAAAATATAAGAATGATTGTGATTCACCGGTTGATTCAAATCCTTTTCTGATTAACCATTGCGTTACTCTGCCATCAGTTGATATTGACATTAATACTTCACTATCGTCTTCTCGACCTTTTTCAACTTCAACCCAATATAACTGCCAAACAGGAGAGTTGTGTTTTCCAGCTGATTCTCTTAAAATAGAAAATATATTCTATTAAAAACATTAATTGATTTACTCGTAAAATACCCTGTATCTAACAACGGATTAGTATCGTTATTTTTAACATCATAAATATTCACTGTTCCATCAAACAATCCAACGGCTAGTAAAGATGGATATTTGTTAGAAAATGCTACAGTTGTAACACCTGCTGTTGTGTGATAGTAGCGCTCAGGAAACTAGTAGAAAAAGAGTAAAGCATATTGCACAGCTATAGCAGAATAATTCATACTTCTTGATTTTTCAACGACCAGCAGCATACTAAACCTTGATTTTGATCATTAAATTCAAATGGACCATAGCCAACAGCTAATAAATCGGGATTTTTTCGATTCCATGCCATTGAACTAACATTTTTATCACTTGTTAAATCCGACGAATATTGCCACAACTTATCTAATGTAAGTCCAGTATAAGCGAGTATTTCTAAAGGAAAAAACAGACGTTTTAACGAGATTTTTTTCTTAAAAAAACTTGTGACAAATCATCCAGAGATTAAAGCACAGTTCCTGAACAGATTATGATCTCAGCTTTGAATAATCAATCGCTCGAGAATCGAAACGGGACTCTTGGTATGATACGGTACGTTTTTCTAAAGTTTCCTCACAAATGCAAAGACTGGGCTTGTTTTAAACTAATCGGGATATTTAAATCTAAAATTTGGTGAAGAGCGTTTTTGAATTTAATTTTTTAAATGTTGCTTTTCGGCAGATACTTCAAGCTGAGAGTCTACTAAAAAAAAATCGACTACTGATGATGTCTTCTGAGCGCACACACTTCAGACTACACGTTGGTATACACTTATCTGAAAAACAAGCTTTGCTAAAGGAGAATCGACTTTCTAGGAGTAGCCGGCTATTGAAAAACTTATAGATCATTAAAATGCTTGATTTCTTAACATTTAATTCGTTTAAACACGATAATTCACGAACAAAGTTAAAGCATACAGCAGCATATTGAATTTTAACTGTTATCTTTCGATATTTCGATAACACATTTCTCATTGACAAGAGACTACGCCTGACAACAAGAGACGTATTCATAAAACTGGAATATGACTTCTTTGGTAACATACACAATTACCAAATGGTAAAACAAAGACAAAATATGCGTGTTTATTGAAAGTATAAAAAAAGAGAACATCAGATAATGAATGTTGAATGGAAAAAACTGTCGAATCTTGAAATAATCTATACAGATTTTTAATAAAAGAATCTTAAGCAATTTTAGGCCATAAGCTAAAATTAAACACCATCAGACGTTCTATTCTTCTCTTTATTTTTCCAGGAGGTATTTAGAAAAATTTAACTAAAAGAATCAAGAAGATAAAGTATTTATTCTTACACATAATTCAAATTAATTTTTCTATTTTCTTTTCTTCACTATTTATTTTAAGGTTCTATAGTACATTTCATTCAACAATATATCCGATATTATCTTTCTTTTATACTTCTAATAAACACAGACATTTTATTATACAAATAGTGTATTTCAAACAAGCTTCTAGATTATTATTACTCATCTTCGTACCTAATTTTTTTGTCAGAAAAGAAAAAATCATAATTAAAAATGCTTACTTTCTTCTTTTACTACAAGTGGTTTCAAGCCTCTATAAATCGCTTGTTTGACTTGGTTTGTATTCAAATTTAAAACTCTTTCCATAATGAAACTACTAGTTGCAATTGCTGATGCCTAATAGACAGGCAAAATAAATAAAAATTAAAATATCTAGATTTCTTACACATACATTAAATTGTTTTTCTTGTTCAATTTGTTGTTCTTTTGTTGCTACAGGTTTTCTTCCTGTTTCAATTGATTGTTCAGATAAGCGTGTTCCGTGAGATTTGTCCATTGGTATCGGTTGATCTGAAAAAAACGTAACATATTAATCAGATTCAATCAGTTGATTGGTGGTAAAAGTGAGCATACCTAATAAACTCGCATCTACATCTTGCGCTTGTATTTCACGTTCAACTATAAAACAATAACGTAAAAAACATTCCATAAACTAAAAGAATATATCACTACCTTTGACTAAGCCGTGTTCAGTATCATACATATCGGCCGTTGAAACAAATGCATCCCGATGCTACAAGAAGATAGCACTCTAAGAAGTGTAATAGTAAAATAATTTTCGTTTTGACATACTTGACTACTGATACGATCACATTGAATGTCTTTATTTTTCATCAGATTATTAAACGTGTTCATGCCACGTTCAGTGAATAAATCAGTGCCTTGTTTACTTTTACAAAGCTAAAAGAAAAACAAATATACAAACTTGATTTTTTAGATAGAAGACGAAGATCTGAGTACCTCGGCATATCGTTCATTGCTTTCTTTAATTTCTTCAAGATCTTTTGCATCATTTGCCACAATAGAGCTATCCATACTAAGAATGAATATTGTTTCTGTTTCACTCATTGTCAGCGTTGGTTGTTGATCACGAGGGTCTTCGGAAACAAATGTTTTTTCTAATTTATAGAAAAACAAAAACTTATTGTTTTTATCTTTGTTATCACATTATTTTTTTTTAATCCTACCTCCTACATAGGGAATTACACTTTGTGCTAAATCTTGAATGGTGTCGGATTGTTCGCTGGGTATACTATCCATATCGGAATTCATTCCGGCACCATGACTCATGCCCATTAAGGATCTATTCAATAAAAAAGTAATTTTACACTTTTTTTCAATTATAAAGTAAAGAAAACTCACCAACGCTTACGTACTTAGTTGCTGAAAATATTTGTGGTTGTGCTGATGAATAGGTTTCACTCGGCTATGAATAAAAAGAAATAGCAAAATAAATAAACCACAGAATTTGAGAGTAGTTAGATTTACCGTTGTTGAATTATCATGAGTCAAAAATGAATCTTTTACTTTTGAAAAATACGGTTCTGGATCAATTAGTCGTTTTGGAGTTACATCTTGATTATTTTCATACACCTTTATTATCATAAACAAAGATATTTCATATTTTCGAGAAAAATTATTGTACGCGCTTACTTTTGGCAAAATGCGAGCAGGTCGAGTGGTTCCCGTTGTTTTTCGGACCACACCTGATGTTTGACCCACAGATCTACCTCCAGAGGCACCTGTACGAACCGAACGGCTATCTGATTGTCGCATTCGGTTAGACGCAGCAGCCGATCTTAATGCAGAAGCCATCTGAAACAATAAATATCATCTTTGACCTGATGCAATATGAGCAGTTATATCGATAAAATATAAACATCTATTTTAACTATTTCAACAACACACAGAAAATATATTGTTTCGAAATTATACAATAGTACACAAAAGTATACCACCTTCATGACTCTATACATGTTGATAATGGCTATTTACTTAGTATTTTGTGTGTGGATATTCGCCACATGATCTCCTGACGATCATATAAGTTTTATGTTAAATGTAGTCACAGCACTTGTGTTTCTCGAACCTACATGATTGCATACAAAATAAAGTGTGTTTGATCATCAGCAGATCATATGGACTATATCCACACACAAAATATCAAGTCAGTAGCCATTATTGATATGTATACATTAATAAGTTTTTTTTGATGATAGAATTCTTCGCTGAAGCTATTGAGATTGAACTAAATATTTTAAATGCATTACTCCGGTTTCTCTTATTTCTAGAAGAACATTTGATGTACGTTAGTCTTAGTACGTAAGATGAAGAAGTCAAAATAAATGTGCTTGCAACACATATCCAGTCATCAAAAGATAATTTTTCTTTTCTAATTTTCTTTTTTCT